ATAAGAAAAAAAAATGAAGAGAATAACAAAAGGAAAAATGAAGAAAATGAGCATGATGATAGATATGATGAAACGAATGAAGAGAATAAAGATGAGAAGAATGAAGAAAATGATAGAAAGAATAATGAAAATGAGCATAATGAGTATGATGAGTATGATGAAGTGAATAAAGAGAATGAAGAGGAGGATGAAGAGATGAATGAAAATGGTGAGAAAAATGAAGAAAATGATGAGGGGAAGAATGAAGAAGATGAGTATGATGATGAGTATAATAAAGTAAATGAAGAAGAGGAGGATGAAAATGATTAGAGAACAACAAGAATGAAACGAAGATAAAAATAGAAAAGATGATGATAACAAAAATGATGATAGTTATTATAGAATCGAGAATGAAGATGAAAATAGGAAAGATGTTAATAAAAGTGGTGAAAAAATAATAGAAAAGAAAATTGATAATCATTTACTTACTACAGCAGCTACCTGAAAATTAATGCTTAATATTCAAATCATTCAATCTTTATCAGTTAAATAATTATAATTAATATTTATAATAAATTAATTAATTTATCAAAACAAAATATAATTACCTGGATAATATAATATGAGTGTTGCTAAAAAAAACCTGAATATTTAAATATGTCATATTTAAATTTCAGGTTTTCTTTTAGTGACACTCATATAATGTATTCAATAAATTGGCTTTAATAAATATCATCAAGATATGTTTGTGAATGCGTGGTTTTAATAAATTTGCAGTTATAAACATTGTTAGGATATGTTTGTAAATATGTGCTCTTAATCTTTTTAATCTTCTGAATTCTGATAAATATTTTTATCTCTATACTATTCCATAACGATCTTACATAATGTTTTCATTTTTGCATATTTATTATAAGATACAGATTTTCTATACAAAATTATCTCCAACAAGTAAATATCTAACGCTGTTGTATATTAACATCTGTTTAAAATTTCTGGTGCAATATATGAAGAGCTTTATAAACCCACGATATTCTTTTCTGAATGCAATAAACATACTATATAATCTATTTTGTAAAATATTACAGCTATGTAATCACTCTAAAAAAAAAAATTAGTTAGAAATTTCTAATTTAGAAATGCATTCAAATATATTAATAAATAACTTACTTTTTTATAATTCTGTTCCAATTCTGTATCTATAGCAAATAGCAGTTTTAAAAATTCAATAGAATTATCTGACTTCAAATAATAATGTCCAACAATTTGAAAATGAACAATAAAGCCCTGACAAAACCTGCTGAAAAGTGATGCCTGAAATCAATAAAAATAGCGAAATCAATAAGAATAAGCTATTTTTCTTACAATCAATTCTATTAAAAGCTTAAGAAAGTCTTAGATTGAACTATTCTTTTTTAGTAGTTGACCTAATCAGTTAAACTTATTACCAGATACTTACTAAACGATATCATATTGAATGAGAGATCCAAGGATCCTTTTGTAGCATTTCAAGAATCACCCTTAATGAAGAACCTGACAATCTATTTGTTAATAAATCTAGAGTGAATATCTTTGGTAAGCTTGCTATATGTAGATTGACTCAATACCAATGTTCTGATAATGGAAGTCTAGTAAGTTTTTAAGAACAGATTTTGCAAGATCAATAGTTAATAACAAAATGAATCGTCTAAAAAGAAGTATAAAGACAGTATTTATAGACATGTTATTAGGCTAAAGATTTACTTGCACAAATTCTGATACTTATAGCTTCGGTCTGTAATAGTATTATACTTAACCAATTTTTCTAATAATCTGCATTCAACCAACGTTAAACTCAAACATTGATAATTCAGTGTTTCAAAATTGTGAATTGTGATATAACTATGGAGTCTATCAAGTTGTTAAGTTCTTTTTTAATAATTTGGTGAAAGCATCTTTCTGTATATATCTTTGTGTTTGCTTTAAACGAAAGTATAAGGCTACTAGCCAATAATCTTTGTTAGTCAAGTATTGATCCACATTAAACAGCAACAAAGTTTTTAGATCTAATCTGAATTTTTTAGATCTTAAATAATAAACCATTTCATACAAACTTAAAATCTTGTTACTTATACTCTTTACTCTATAGCAAGGATCTTACATGATCTAAAGGATCTAATGAACAGTAATTAAAAAATACGGATCAGTTACATATGTACATATGTACATATGTATTTTCACAGAATAACATGCAGGGCATAATTTCGAATTTTGGCTTAATTCAGGCCAAAATTCGAAATAACGCTCTATGTATTTAAAATTGATTGATGTGGCTAATTTTGCTGATCTTTCAGCAAAATTTCCAGAAACGCCAAGGTAAGCTATACTACATTTGATCTCAAATTTGTTTAGTACAAAATTTTATATATTTTTATTTTGCTAATTTTGTTTTTTTAAACTTTTACTAAATGAAAAATTGGATCAAAAGTTATCTTTTAAACTATATTCCAAACAAATTTGTCTAGAAAATTTAATTGTATTTAGTATTTTTTAAATAAAACAATAATTTATTAATAATATGAGATATACTTTCTTTATAGAATATTTATGAGAATATATTTTCAAATTTTATTATAAAAATTTTTTAAAATTATTAATAAATTTTTGAGCAATAAAACTTTAAAGTTTTTGTTTAAAAATTTTTTTTATTAAAAATTTTTTAAGATTCTTTAAGATTTTATATGTTTCCAAAACTAAAAAAATTTTTGCTTTTATACAAGTCTAAATTTTTATAAGTAAATTATAAAAGTTGTAATAATGAAAAATATTATTCTTATTCTATAAACATACAACTCTTTCTGCTAATCATCAAAACACAAATTTTCAAAAAAACAAAACAACAAAAACTACAAAAAACACATCAAGGCTACTAGGAAACTAAACTTGGAGCTCTAAGAAAAGAGGAAGAAGACTACAAGAAACACTTAGTCTTTTAGAAGACTTGAGCAAAAAAAGCAAAACTAGCGAAAAATAGAAAAAGTCATGAAAAATTATCAATATTTTTTTGCACTTTACGAATTTTTGGGAAATCGATCTTAACCCTAAATTGTAGATCTGTTTGGTAATACAAAATCACAACATATAATAGAAAGTAAATAAAAGAAATACAACAAAACTACATGACAAAAGTACAAAGCTGTTAAACACGTGCAGCTAACAACAATATCTTTTGACAACAATAGAAAAACAACAAGTCACGTGAAACAAATATTAACAAAGCATCTAGGAAAGAAAGTTGAAATATATAAACTAAAATATTGTATTAAGAACTATGTCTTTAAAATTAATATTTAAAAAGTTTGTCAAAAATAAATTAATAATTTTTTTATTAAAAAATTTTTTTAAATTAGTCTATTTTTATTTTATAAGCAACTAAAACTTTTTCTTATAATATAAAATTAAATACTGCTATAATATAATTTTTATTTTTAAATATTATCAAAAAAAAATTATTTAAATATATTAAAATTTAAAAAAATTAGATCATAATTATATTTATGATAATTTTTTAAGCAAATTTGTCTGGAAAAGCTTATTAGTCAACCGATTTGTTATATATTTTATATATCAGTTAACCAATTTGTCATATATTTTATATATACAGTGTTTTTATATATAAAATTATAGCAAAAATATATAGAATTACATATAAACTTTGTTGCAATGATGTTTCTTCATTTATATATTAACTTTAAATTAAATTTTACAAATAAATATATTAAGAAAAGATAAAAAAAACATATCAGAACAGGTTATTTAAGCAAAAAAAAAAGTTTTACATAGAAAAATTGAAAATATTGATATTAGTATATAGAAAACTTTTTTTATTAAAATAATTCTTCTTTACTCTCTAATTGGGATTGTTCAAAATATAATTTTATATATAATTTTTATAGTGATATGGGCTAACTCTGGCTCATTAGCCAGGCGGATAGGCAGGTCAAAGGTCGACCCGTACTTCTGTGGGCCAGCCTGGCCGATATATAGTTAACCAATAAAATACATAGAAGAATAAGATAAAAAATGATACAACTACTTTTTTTTTTACTTAGTTCCGGTTTTTTTCTAGATTAATTTTTGATTATAGGGTCTTTTTAGTCAATATTCCAAGCAGAATTATTTGATTTTGACTTAAATGTGATAATTTTATTTTGACATTTTTTATTGGACGATAATTTTTTTTAAATATCTATTTTATAATTCTATTTCGATGGTTTATTTTTATTGAACGATGTTTTTTATAGATATATTTTTTTAATATAATTTAATTTAAAATATAATTTGATCTAATTTATTTATTTTTAAATTATTTGAGGCTAAATTATTATTTATTTTTATTCAACGATGAATTTTAATCATATATAGAATATTCTCAAGCACCTCTTTGGATTTGATTTTCTAGTTATTGAAAATAGTGATAAGTATCGTGACGTAATTCTAGCTATTTTCATATTGAAAAGGAGATCAAATTATGCGATTATAGACCAAAAGTTTTTTTAAAAAATATGGTCGGCCTGGCCGACCAGGCTGAGTAATTTTGACAGACAAGTCGGGCTGAGAGTTTGGCATCGGCCTATATCACTAAATTTTTACTTTAAATCTGCTAAATTTTTTTTTTACTTTTTTTTTACTTCAGCGATTCTACTTTTATTTTATATATCAGCAATATATTACAGTAAGAATTCAAATAGCTAATCTTACTGACTAACTATTAAGTACTTCATGTCTGTTCAAATAAAAATTCTCTCGATTTGTCTTATTATTGCAGTAGAATTCAAGCAAAGCCAAAATTCTATACTAGAGTATGATCCAGGCTAAGTAATAGTTTTTCTCCTTCTAGGATCCTCAACTTACTGAGAATATGAGCCCTAGCTATCAACAGATAGTTTCACTGACCTTGTCAGAATCACTGCTCTACAATAGAGTACCACCAATCTGATGATACTTTCTCGTAGAGAAGTAAAAAAGAAAAAAAAAGAGGTATAGAGAGAATGAAAAGAGGTAAATATAAACAAATGTACAAAAAAAATGACCAAATTGTATAAGAATCTAAATATTATCCTAAAATCTATGAGAATATATCTTCAGATATAAAACTTGCTAACCAGGTGAAAACTATCTATATGATCATAGAAATCTATACATAAAGCTATCTGACAAAAGAAAAAGGAACTACGTACTAAAATGTACTTTAACTTGTACTAAGGGCTAAAAATTATATGTATATAACTTTGGAATAAGCATATCTCTAAATTATCGCTCCAGTTTACAACTCTCTATTAAATCCAATT